GTCTGTCCCTGCTCTGGCTGGGGAGCAGAGGGGCTGAGCCAGCCCTGTAGGGCTGGAGCAGAGCACCTAGCCCAGACAGCATGCCAGGATGCTGGGAGACTCTGGTTTAAGTTCAGCCGGGAATGGGTCTGTGACAGACACTGCATAAAGTGATCTAAGCTGAATCAGTCAAGTCTGATACTACGTTCAACCAGGTTTCTCTCATACCAGTTTCAGCCATTTTGAAACTGGTTTATGCACACTGAATTTATGTTCTGTTACAGATTTAAACCAATTTCTGATCACTTAAACCAATTTGTGTGTAATGTCTGTCCCTAGCCTTGAGGTCTACCAAGCTCAAGCCTCCCCAGAGAGAACACCACCACAAAGGTTTGAAACCAAGGCCTCTGGGTCTTAAAGCAGATCCTCTACTGCCTGAGCAGAGGACCCAGCTCTGTTAATCAAGGTTGTAGCTAGTTCAATCCCTACATGTGGCTCAACCACTACTAGGAAAGAGAACCGCACTGAGCTTGGCACCAGCTTCTTGTTTTATCCTTTGACAAGACTTTGCTAGAACAAAGGCTACAAGAGTTAACCATTTTTCACAACAAACAGAATGAAGCCTTCTGTTTAACAAGTTTTCTTTCAGCAGTATCATTGTGATGCCTGCATCTCCATGGTATAGAAAGCAAGATTAGACATTTGGAAGCTTACTGGGAGCGTGGGCTCATTTATGCATTGTGCATTAAAGTAACGTTAACAGCAGTGAAGTCAAGGATTGTTCTGATCAGTCAATTTTTCTTCCCTCATATACCAGCTGAACTTCGATGAACTCTCATTTATATTCTAGCAAAAAACTAGTAAACAGAAACACAGATTGCTGTTTTATGTGCCCAGGCTTTTTCACTTCTTCTCTTCAATAGCTTCATTCATTAAACTGGGCAACAGAAAAATGCAGCCCTACTTAAATATTATTCAAGGCAATATATTGGCTTTGTTTCCTAGCCTACTAGAAACAGGCTGTTAATAGGAAAATTTTCACTTTTTCCCTCACAAGGAATCTACAAATATTGTCAGAGAGCCTCAAAGTATAGGCCATGATAGAGAGATAAATATTTGAGACGCATCTCAAAAGACTTATATCTAGTCTAAACCAAATTTTAAAAAAATCCAGGTCTCCCCAAAAGTTACTGCTATGGGCATTCTTTAGTAAGAAGTGTCTAAGCCATGTTTTAGAAATACTAGACTTGATTTTGGTCATCAAATCCAGCAACCTTCACTTGGCAATAAATAATATTCAGTAATTCACAAGACTGGTAATATCCACAGCATCCGAGAAGGTTTCAGATCCATGAACCTGATGCCCAAAGGTCATTTCGCAACTCCCGTTGAAATCAAAATGCCCACCGATTTCATATGCAATTACTTTTTTTATCATCGTCATCTTAGGGTCAGTCTCTGTAAACCCTTAATCGTACTTACTGGTGAGTGAGTAAAGAAAAGTACCTAGACATGTTAGTCTGAAGTCAGGCAGAAGGCAAGGTAGCTGTGTATTTCAGTTATGGGCTAACTGAAATCAAAGATGGGTAAACTTTCATAAGCTGCAGCTTATTTAATCAACTAGCGACTGATGAAATGGGTCTTTGATTCATGAAAGTTTATGCATGTTTGATTCCACTCATCTAAGGTGCACTTCTATCTTGCCAGGGTAGGAGCCAGCACCACTTCCCTTGGAAGTTGGTTCCAGATCCTAGCCGCCCTGACTGTGAAGTAGTTCTTACGGATGTCTAATCTAAACCTACTCTCCAACAACTTGTGGCCATTATTCCTCGTTATCCCGGGGGGCGCTAGGGGAAACAAGGTCTCCCCCAAACCCTTCTGGTCCCCCCTAGTGAGTTATAGACAGTCACCAGGTCCCCCCTCAGCCTTCTCTTGTGAAGGCTGAACAGGTTCAGGTCCTGTAGCCTCTCATTGTAAGGTCTGCCCTGCTGTTCCAAGATCATGTGGGTGGCCCACCTCTGGACCCTCTCAATGTTGTCCACATCCCTCTTGAAGTGGGGTGCCCAGAACTGGACATAGTACTCTAGCTGTGGCCTGACCAGTATCACGTAGAGGGGGAGGATCGCCTCCTTGGACCTACTTGAGATGCACCTGTGGATGCACGATAAGGTCCTGTTAGCCCTGCCGACCGTGATCTCGCATTGTCAGCCCATGTTCATCTTGGAGTCAATGACGACTCCAAGATCCCTTTCTGCCTCTGTGCTCTCAAGAAGGGAGTTTCCCATTTATAAAAGTGTGCTGCTGGTTTCTACCGCCCAAGTGCAGCACCCTGCACTTGTCCGTATTGAAACACATCCTGTTTTTGTTAGCCCACCCCTGCAACCTATCCAGGTCTTTCTGCAGTCTCTTCCCTCCCTACTAACGTACCCACCTCACACCAAATTTTGGTATCATCAGCAAATTTGAACAGGTTGCTTTGCACCCCGTCGTCCAAATCACTGATAAAGAAATTGAACAGTGCGGGCCCAAGGACTGAGCCCTGGGGGACTCCACTGCCCACTTCCCCCCAGGTCGAATATGACCCGTCCACCACCATCCTCTGAGTATGACCTTTCAGCCAATTTGTAGTCCATCTGACTGTGTAGTTTAAAGCTGGATAAGGAAGTTGTTCTAGCTGTTGTTCTAGTCAACTAATGCCTGTCTGCCAGGTCAAGTAGAATTTACCTGTCCCAACTCTGCAAGGTGCTAAATATTCTCAAGACACAGTTGATCAGTTATTCTCCCACAGGAGTTCAGGGCAAGACTGTCTTCTTTAAAGGATAATATTTCACTGTTTGTTTAAAGTCACTTCCAGTTCCTAGATAATTGTTCCTTAGCTATTGCCCAGTTAAAACAAATACACCAATACATAATATGGTAATTTATTGATTCATGAGTCAACAGGGACCATTATGCAGAAAGTAGTACAATATCATGTAGATTAACACAAGTCACAGAACTACTTCCATAATATCTGCATCAAGCCCACACCTTGTGTGTGACCTGAAACATCCGAGGGCTTCCAACGACAACATTACAGAAATAAAGAGGAAATAGGTGAAAGAAACATTCAAGTTTCTTAGGAAAGAAACACAAGAAAGAGGGGGGTCAGGGAATGGAAAAAGAAAATAACCTATATAGGAAGAATTTGACCTCTCTTAAATATTAACAAATATTATTGGTCCTACAAAACTGAGGACCATACTATATTTTCTTGATTACAGTCTAATGAAACCTTGTCCGCTAATTATTTACATACATACAAGAACTGGATATTCCTTTAACACATCACCATAGCTCCTTCATTGAGGAAGCAGCCATATTTTAAAGAATGCAAGTACTGAAGAAAGTACTTCTAGTTGATGATCAACTATCAATGGCCACATGTGGAAAGAGTTTTAAAGATTCAATAACATCAAGCAACTTCTTCAAAATATTCATGTAGACTAAAACACTAAATACCAACTGTGATTTTAATCCATGTTCAGAGCTCTTTGAGTATTCCCTGTCTCTCTCAGAAAGCCAGCTAAAAATCCCTGTCAATAAGAACATTAGATTCACTGCCAGATTTTCAGCTAGTTAGAGTTGTTAACATGACAATCCATAGTCTAGATAGACTATGCAATTATGGCTAAAACTACAACAATAAGAATTAAGCACAGTCTGAGGGAAAGGATATATTATGATGCAGCCATGTACTTTTAAAACAAACAGACAAATCTCATTCTCATGCAGAGAGGAGGAAAATGTTATTTTTTACAGAACCAATACAATAAATGTATTTAACAGTGATCAGTACCTGTAGGAGTCACTCTAGCACTGGTTCTCAGCCTTTTAAGACTCAAGCCACCTCTTGTTTGACTCAAGGCAGCCCTCAGAAAATGCCAGATCTTATTTTTCTGTTGTCAAGAAAAAGCATAAAATCTAAAGCAACTCTTCTGTTGCAAAGAACTCAGGAAGACCAGACAGGTCAGATGTCTTGGGTACTGTGGATGCCTATTTGAAATCCCTGGGTTTATTCTGTGAGTCACACTTGCAGATCTAACAGTGCTAACATTGTGTGGCATTCAGCAGCACCCCTGAAAGGATCTCAAGGCTCCATGGCACCCTGGTTGGGAGTCACAACACTAAAGTCTCCAAATACAATGGACAGCATTACTGCATGGCAGGGGTGGGGGTTGGGGGGAGGACTGCCAAAGTACGTGCATGTGAGCTGCAAACTGACAGGATTATTCACACTGGCATGTTACAATGATAAACATCCCAAGACAAGATGACAGGCAAATAAGATATGAAACTCACTCACTGTGACAAAAATCTATGCCTCCTTCAGCCTTGCTGCTTACAGATAGCAGTGACAATGAAAGAGGGCTGGGAAAGGGAGCAGCTTGCAGCTTACCAGGGTGTCCAGAAGGACCAGGGAGGAGCACAAGGTCTAATTGGGCAAGTGATCATCTCTTTTACCGCAAATGTGGATGCTTCAATGGTCACCTGAATGCAAGATTAACTTCTATCCCTTCTTTATCAAGTAGGCCTACTGACACCCCTTAAGTCAGGCAATAGCCAAACTTTCTTCCTGGGCTCTTTGTCTAAGGCTTGTTACTCACTACCAATTCCACATCTTCTTTCAAAACCCTCCTCACACCAAGAAGAGCCCTCTAAAAGGGCAAAAGTCTGTAACAAATAAGGTTTTCTTAAGAAAGATGATAGTATGTGTTGACTTTATATTAGCCCTTATCTGAAGTATGCAAGATATCAGCTCCCTTCCAAAAACAGATTTCTGGAGATTTAAAGACGTGGTGAACAAAACAAAATTGTTGGTCTTCGTTACTTTTTTTCATTATGAAATGAAAACACAATTCAGACTACACACAACTGAATTATTGTTATTAAAAAGATATAACCAGTCTTTTCCCAAATAGCAAGTTCCAGACCCTCCCTATAATCCCCCTCAGAAAATAAGAGTTGTCATTTAGACTCACCTGCTTTGTCTTTGAATTGGCTTTAGGTGTACCAGGATCTAACAAACATGGAGGAAAAGCATACACAATGAGCTCCGTACAGCTATCAGCATCTAAGCTGTGACTCAATAACACCAAACTCTCAGCTAACCCCTAGGCAGGGTGAGATGAATTCATCTGATGGCAGTTAGGCTAGATACACACCTGTCACTATATTTGCATAATATAACCCTTCCGTAAAGCTTTCTCCAGGGACTAATCCTTAGTCCTTTCACCTTGCAGAAAGACAGACAAGTAAATATGGATACAGCAGATGTTTGGACAGGCTGTAGGAAACAAATGAGTAATCCAATGGCAAATGAGTTCACTTGTGAGTTCCTTTGTTAGCAAGTGGGGAAAGCTGGCAAACCAGTGTTTGGGTCTTGGAAGGGTCAAATGGTTTTCCCTTCTGATCCGAAAATAAAGAGATAGCATGTCACACACAGTTCATCACCAATGATGAGCCAATTGGCTTTTCTCTCTGGATAAAAGGAGCACAGTGCTCCCTTGTAACATGGGAGAATCCCATCAGCTTCTTCAGGTGGAAAGAAACTAGAGGGTGGACTATAAGGCTGTTCAGCTGGCAGTAATATTTGCTAAGCCGACAGCACAGTTGCAGCTCAGAGAGCACTTTCAGGTGTTGAACTCCCCAGAGGTTGAGGTCACAAACTACAACAACCTGTGCAATTCACCAGCTCCCTGCCAATTTGACCCTCATCTTCTACATGCTACATATGCTCGGTAGTGGGAAGTATGGTCAAATGATCACAGCAAAGGGGCCATAAATTGTGGCCACCTGTTAAAGGTGAAGTAGGTGATCATGTAATATAATACCTCATTTAATCCAGAGGAATGGATTCAAATTGACCTCTGCTCTGACCACTTTTCCTTAGAGGAAGGAGATATCATTTTTTAGAACTAATTCTCAGACAGTCTGACCGTGACCACTGCATTACAGTGTCTTGCCTTCAGTGCAAACTAAAACTAAGGTGTGGACATTGCCCCTGGATGCACTTGGGGGAGGCTAGGTAGCTGGGTTCCTCTACCATTTTCCTGCCCCCTTCCATAATTCCCCTTCACCTTGAAGCAGAGGCAGCACTTTGTTGTTGCAGAAATGCACAAAGCAGCCTGTCCTCCAAACTGTTTTGTATCCTTAGGGACAAACAGTGCCATAGGAAGGTTCCTGTACCCTTGCTATGTATTCAGAGAGCAGAAAACAAAAAAGAGCTGGTTTTACCTTTGAGCTTTGTGGCTGGCTTTCAAGAATTTTAGACTTCCCAGAAGAAGTAGATAGTTGCACATTTATTAAATGAAAATTGTGGCTGGAAACAAGTAGTCTGGAGTAGTTGCCCTCTATAAAGAAACATCTCCCCCTTATTCTGCCCTTTCTCCCACCATTTTCTCTCCCTTTCCTCTTTCTTTATCCATTAGTAAACATGAAAGAGGCAGTTCAGCACAGCTCCTCCAGCCCAGCTTTGGGAGCAGCATTCATTGCACCATGGTGCTATCTAGTGGTAGATCTGTAGACATATACCAAAGGGTCCTCAAATACAGCTGCCTTTGTATATAGAGGCTGTGTGCTGCAAGAGCCTTAACATTTGTGCAGTAGAGTCCATAACCCTACAAATACCTTGTTTTCTTAAATGTCCAGCACAATTAAAGAGAGTAACTATGCTTGGTAAGATATTCAGAGTTTCAAAGAGTATATTTTGGATAGTGCATGTAAGAGAAATAAGTATTTTCTTTAGCTGGGACTAGTCTACTTTTGTCCCATGGCTCTACAGATAAGCTGTGGAAAGGGTCTTCCTGAGCTGATTTATGAGCTAAGAATCATGCCCCTAGGTTTACCCCGAGAACTTGCAAACATGGTGATAGAGGCTGAGGGGAAGGGGGAGTTACAGAAGGTTTTTTTCCCTCTTGGGCAACATCTGGTTATCCCAAAGCCACTGTGGGTCACCTACCTCACATGAGATGGTTCCTTTTCTCTGACTGACTAATCTAAATTTTATAAGGAGTATCTGGACAATTCATTTAGTCTTTAATTTTCTGAGGTGGAAAGAGAGCAGGTAATTTGAGGAATTTCCCCTTCCTTTTCCTTAAAAACCAGGGGTGGGGGGATGGGGAACTGGAGCCCCCTATTGCATGTACCCAGCCCAGCCCTCCCGGCCCTAGGCCAGCAAGTTGGGGGCTGCCCATGCAGCAGAGGGGCTCCATACCCCCACCCCCGGTTCCCAGCCCAGCAGACAGCCACAGCTAGGAGCCATGAATCAGAGCCAGGCTGTCTGCCATGCTGTGAGAGGGGGAATGGAGCCCCCATGGGTCCCCAGCTTGCTGGCTTTGGGCTGGAGGGATGCTTGGCCAGGTCTATGCAGCAGGAACCACCACTCCCCCTCTCCCCACCCGCAGTTCCTGGCATGGCAGACAGATGCATAACTCTGAGCTGTGGCTCTTGGCTGCAGTTGTCAGCAGAGGCCAGGTGGTGGGGAGAAAGGTAGGAGGAATGAAGAACCCACTGTACAGGCCCAGATCTGAGCCAGAACATCTGTGGGGACCTGTGCAGCAGGGGACTTTATTACCCCACCCTCCCAACCCCAGTGGACAGCTGAAGCTAGGACCTGCATCTTGGAGCTGAGCAGTTGTAAGGTGAGGCGGGTAGGAAGCAGGGAGTGGAGCCCCCTTCCATGTGTGCACCCCAGCGTTGCTGGTTCAGGCCTGGGTCGGTGCAGCAGAGGCTCCATTCCCCCCTGCCCAGTGGCTGCTGACAGCTGCAGGCAGGAGCCATGGCTTGGAGTCATGCACCTGTCCATCACACAGGGAACCACAGGTTGGGGGGGGAGCAATGCACCCTGCCACATGGACCTAGTCTAGCACCCCAAGCCAGCAAGCTAGGGGGAGCCCACGTGGCAGGGGGCACTCACCCTGTCCCAGCCCCTGGTTCCCAATGTGGTGGACAGTGTGTGGCCCCAGCCTCAGTTCCCCCAGACTACAGCCAGCATAGCTGAGGGTGGGGGGGCTGCACAGCAGGAGGTGTCATGCCTTCCCTCCCCACCACAGCCCCTTCCGACAGCCAACAACTGGTGGGGTGGTGGGGCTGTGGTTATTCTGGCCAATCATGCGTGATAAGCTGCTCAGCTAGGCTCCGAATTCTCCAGCAGCCCATTGTGAGCACTCCCAGCCTGCTGGCCTCAGCCAGTGCAGGGCATCTCTGTGCCCCCTTCCCTGCCAGGGGTGAAGTTGAGTTCTGTTTGCTCACAAACTAATCCAGGGCACTTAGAAAAAGCCACAAAAGTTAGTGCGAATCCAGTGGATTTTGAACCTCTGTACCTAACCTTGGTTCCATAATGAGCATCAGGATGAGTTGTTGATTGCTCTTGAGGCAAGTAAATTAACATATTCTTGATTCCATGTCAGCAGCCATGTCAATTAAATGAAAAAGGGAAGCAGGTCTAGGAAGAGGCATAGGAGGGATGGTATGGTAGATAGCCATGAACGCCTCGTGCCTCCTGAGGCTGCGGGGGCACAGCGACCGCCCGTAGGTAGCAGCGGTTGTGGCCGTGGCGGCGGTGGGGGTGTGGTGGCAGTGAACAGAGACGACCCATAGGTGGCCATGATGACAATGGCAGTGAGGGTGGGCCAAGCAGGAACTGCTCGTAGGTGGCCGCAGAGGTGTCAGCAGTTGGGGGGGAAGGGGTGGTGAGCACCGAGTGGCAATTGGCAACCACCTGCAGAAGCCACCAAAGCATCAGCAGAGGGAAGGGGGTGGCGAGCAGCAACTGCCCGCAGACACCACCGGCAGCGTTGGCAGTGGCCAAACTCAGGGGGTGCATGGCCAATTTCAGGAGGTGCACATGCTCCCGTGTGCACCCCCTACGTGTCACCAATGTAGATAGCAATAGATGAGAAGCTCAAGAAGAGTTCTGGAAATCTGAGCACTCGGTTCTCAAGTTCTAATCAAACATGCAGAGAGCAAGAAAGCTCTATGTGGCCAAAGAAAAAACAGTTGTTGCAATGGCTTATGTTGTTCCAAGTGTAATGCTGTCACCAGATAAGAGCTACATCTTCCTTCAGTCTTCCTTGGCATTGTCATGTGGTTCCTGCCTGGTTATTATGAGATAACTGTGAGATCACCACACATCTTTACATTTGTACATTGTGAAAGGTACTTGGAGGAAGGGCAGAGCTCCCCCAGACTGAGAGCTAGCCGGGGAGTTGGCAGTGCTTCTCCCTAGCTGGAGGTTGTCTGTTGCTATTACTGTTAATAAACTGTATTATAGTTTCTGGATTCTGGCTCTCAGACTTCTTGATCAAACTGCCAAACATCACTTATTCCTGGCCCACTTTCCTCACACTCCTTAAGCAGGGGTCATCTACAGTCTCTTAAGTTGTATTTTAAAGAAATCTTACCAAGGGCATAGGAACAAACCACCCTGATGCACCAGAAGATCAGCAAGCATGACAGAAAACCAGTTTGGCTTAGGAGGGAACTCTTGTGAGCTAAAACATAAAAAGGAAGATTACAAGAAGTAGAAATTGGACAAATGACTAGGGAGGCGTATAAGACTATTGCTTGGGCATGCAAGGATAAAATCAGCCCCTACATTTGCAACTAGGGAAACTCCTGTTAAACTGTTGGAGATATCTCTCACCTTCCTTGAGACTATTGCCTTGAACAGTTACCACCACCACCACCAGCTGTTTGCACTGCATGTTACAATGATTCATTTTAACCTGGAAGAATGCAGGATTCACCAATTGGCTTTAGCAAGGTCTGTGATTGTCTTTTGCTTCAAGACTCCTCTGACAGAAGCCCTTAGCAACTGTCAGGAAACCATTGTGATAAAGTGTCATAAATGTATGGACAGATGGTTCCTGTGCTAGAGTGGAACAATAAATGTAAAACCATATGTGAGTGTATGCATTGCTATCAGTGATGGTACTAAGAGAGAAAACAGTTTGGGGGAAAGGAGGGGTTTAAAGAAGGAAGGAGAAGATACTTGGCAAGTCAGAAGCAAGAGAACTATTCCAAACTCAAGAGCAGCTTGAAAGATAGTATGAAACCAAAATTGGGAAAAGAGAATACATGGCCCAGAAAACCTAGAAGTGCTGGAAAGAGGGTAGAATGCAAAGGGCAGAGGTAGTGGGTAATGGGGCCAGATCT